CAAACAAACTCTTATGCCTGGACAGTCTGTGAACGATATTAAATGATGGATGGGTTATGCATCAATCTGAGCTGGCAGGTTACCTCAGGGTGGCTTTCCTAGTAATTCAGACTTAGATTTGGCTGCAAGTGAAATTTACCTCAATGGCAAATGAGTTGCAAAAGATAAGTTATTGTGTAACCAGTACAGTAAACAAATGAGTGATAAGAGGAAGAGAAGCAGTGCTCTAGGTATCCAGAACATGGAGGGTTGAAGGGAATAAAAATATAGTATTCTCCATCTTTTATTGCCAGTATTCCCTTAAAATAAAAACACTCTGCTTCTGTGTCTGAAATAGGTCCTCAGAGCAAAACCTCTTCTTTACAGCTTGTCTGTTGCAGTGAACTGTGTGTTTGCCATCTGAAGGAGCCCAGGTTTGGAAACCTCTGGCTTGGTCTGAATTGGTTGATGGCACCAGGAATGGACCAACATTCTTGGTCTGGAAGAGTGGCTGCTGAGTTGTGATGGCAAGGAAGCCTTAACACCCCTCACAGCCCCTAGCTATGGGCCAGGTAGTGCTTTGAGCTTAAGTACTGGATATGGTGATGATCAGGCTCAGCTAATAACTGGAAGTAACAGTGCAGTAAACAACTCTTCAGCATTTTCAGACTGGGCCTCAAATGTTTTTTGGGGTTCCTACTGAAACCTAAATCTAGTGTGAAGTGAAAAACATCCCCTATCTGTGAGATCTCACTTACCAGAATGTACCCAGGTTGTTTCAGGCATGCACGCTGCAGATGTCAGTGCTGCTGGGTGGCCCCAAATATGAGCAAGAAACCCTTGTGTTTGGTGTTGTACAGAGACAGCATTAAACAACTGAGACCCTGCTCCTAAGAGGTGGTCAGCTAGGAGAAAACATTGTCTGGTGGACCACAGGGCCAGAGTGCTGTGATCTGTGCCCCTCAGCACCAGGTTACATGGAAGGGAAAGAACATGCAGGGAACTGCCATGTCCCTTTGTGGAACAAAGATCTCCCTGTAACTCCTTGTGAAGACAAACTGTTGTAGATAGGGCCTAGAGTATTGTCTGGAGTGCTTGGCAGCCCCCAAAAGTGGATAGAGTCCTTATCTATTTCTCTTGTGTTTTCCTCTGATTAAATCACCTTATAGTTGGGTGTTGTATGCAGTATTCATTTTGGGATGCAAACCTGATTATTGTCATTGGTGTTGCAGCATGGGGAACTGATCATGACAGTTCATGGTATCATGACTCATGTTAGGGGCAAGCTCTTCTAAGCTTTAAAGACTCAGCTTTATGTGAAGTTCTGTTGGCAGCCAGTCACATTTGAGAAGTGCCTCAGTTGCTGCCTGTCCCATCCCCTACACGTGATTGCTTCTGTGACTTAGACACACCTTGGATTTGCTTGTAGCCCACCTTGGATTAGAGTTCTGGACATGGTGAAAAAGCATCTGAAAATCCAAAAAATCATCATGTATTTATCTGGTCTGAAGAGGGCTAATGTAAGTATTTGAGTTAAAAACCTTGGGGTGTGGAAATGCTAGAAAGTAGCAGGCAGTTCTCCTGGGAGATGGTGACAACTTAGTGGTGGAGCATGAGACAAGAGGATGGGAGGCTTGTGAACTGGTTCCAGCTCTGTTGTCTAAATGGTGTTCTTCCCTCAACTGGAGCCACCTGTTGAATTGCCCGCAGTCTGGGGACTCTGAAGGAGTCTGGGTTGGCCTTTGCTGTTCTAGGGAGTTCACTTAATGAGTTTAAATTCAGCTCACCATTGCAGCCTAGAAGAATAAAGGCTAATAAGCCCTTTAATCTTTGGAGCTGGCTGTTGCACTGTATGCTTAGAGCCCTGTGCTGTCCTTAACCTGTGTGGACCCTGGACTCGTGTTTGCTGTGCGAGTTTGTTTGGGGAAGGACATGTGGACACAGGAGAGGTCTTAGAGTCACAGGGAAGGCTTTGGGAGAAACAGTCACAGAGAACTGCAAATTTTTTGTTTGAAGACTTAAAAGAATTTTCATACAGCTAGTGAAAAAGTGGTGTTGATTTATCAGTATGGACTTCTATCTTTGGGAAGACCTGAATTCCACAACAGAATTTTGCAGGCTGTATTGCTAATTAGCTGCTGGCTTGCAAAGACTGTTTTGTGAGGTTTTTGTAAGACTGGGGTGTTAAACCCATGGTTTCTTCTCTTTTTCTGGAGTTTCTCTCCAGCCTTTGCTCCCTTGGCTCTGGTGGCCACTGCAGACAGTGGCTCCTAACACTAGGTGGCTGTCTAACAAGGGATTTCTTGAGTCAAGGCTCCTAAAGCAAATCAGCACTGACAGCACCACTTCTGTGTTTACTTCTCTGTGTGTGTTACCTTTCTTGTGTAGCTGAAGGGGAGGTAAACTCGTGCCTAATTACAGAAAGCGACAGAAATGCAGCATGTGAAGGGTAGCTGCTGGGGGAAAGGCACATCACAGCCCTGCTGCAGAGGACAGGGGTGCACTTGTTCCTCCTCTGCTGGGAAGACTGGAATAAAACTAATACCCAGAACTGAGACCCTTTTACAGCTGGCTGTGCCTTACGAGGGCATTACTGCATCATAAATTATGACACGTTTCATGTTTGCATTTCTTTGTTTGCTGGCCACAAACCAGTGCTGCCCTGTCCTCACTGAGCACTGGAGATTGCTCTCAGAAGTAGTTCCCTCAAAGAGCTGACCCTCAGCCCCTGCTCACAGGCCACATGTGGTGGGTTTCTGATGCTTCTTGAGATCCTTGTGTTGTTCCAGGCTGCTCGTGAGCTTGGGCCCTGTTGTGTCTGCAGCAATGGAGTTGGTGCCTTCCCTAGGGGCTTAGAGCCAGAGTGTAAGGAGAAGCAGTTGATGATTTTCCTACCCAGCATGTGAATTTTGTCACTTCAGCATGAAGAATTGCTAGGACAGGGGCTTCCTATGACACTGCTTTCTGAACTCATCAGCCAGTCTTGGTGTCAAGTCGTCTACAGAGGTGATAGCTAAGGGAAGTGTTGGGACTGCTATTTCTTAAGTAAGGTTGAAAACAACCTCTTCTATTGAAGCTTGCCAAGAGACTTTGAACAACCTGGACAGATGTAAGTACCTATAAATAACTCTGAGCCCTCTCTTCAGGTGCAGCAGAGCTTTGACCACATGACTTGGGATGCAGCAGGAGAGGAGCATGATTTGGGATGTAGCATGAAGCTGTGATTCCCCCTGAGATGAGACTTGGAACAGCCTCAGGGCTGCTTCTGGCTGGGAGAGCTGCAGCTGTCTTCTGGGATCAGTGCTGCTGGGTTGCAGCAGAGTCATGTGGTGCTCCCATTTCCCTGTCTTCCTGCCTCTGGCATTTCTGGTTTGGAGGTCATAGTTGCACTGTAGTGTTGGCTTCTCTGGCTTATTGTTGTCCTGCCATTTCCCCACATGGCAGAAATCAAAGCCTCCCAGCTGGCAACAGCTGCTTACTCCGTCCTCTGTCCCCTTGCTGTTGGGATTTTTATTGAGCTAGAGCAGCATCACCTCCTTCAGCCTAAGAAGTCTGGTTCCACTTGGGAAGTAGCAGACCTGGTGATACTGGTTTGAGGGTAGAGGAGCACACGGAGACCATCTGTGTTTTAAATGGGTGTTTGGTGCAGGATAGATTTGCTAAGTGTGGTGGTAGCACCTTCTTATCTGAGAATAGTGGATGGGACACAGGCTGGAGATGGCATGGAGGAGGACAGACCTGCCAAGCCTCTAGAGTCCTGTGAGGTTTGCTTACCTGGCTTGTGCTTCTGAGTATCTCTTAGATTTGCAGTGCTGTGCCACAGCCTCCTTCCAGCACTGTGAGCCCATGAGATGGGCATGACTGGTCAGTTCCCTCTGAATCCCAGCTGCCTGTGGTGAGGAGACAGAGCAATGCTGCTGGGTCAGCTCCTAGGCTTTTGGCAGAATTTTGGATTCAAAGAGCATGTTGGGCCTGGCACCTGGAGCTCTTCCCCTCCACCTCCCCTGGTGAAGGATCGTGCATGTGGAGTCAGAGAGTGGTTGAGAAATTAGAAAGAAGTGCAGGACTGGGGGGAGGTGGTGACAGTGGCTTTTGAGCTGACTGTGGCTAATTTATCAGTGATGGGTGCTTGTTATGTCCAAAATATTCCATGGTAAACTGGGTATGAGTCGACATCTGAGCTGGATTAAGTAATCAGTAAATCCTCTCATGCTCCATTTCAAAGTTGTGTTTTAGCCATTTTATCCTTACATTTGCCCTTACTGAAGAGTTGATCTGAGCTGTGTACCAGGATTTGATGACTTTTCCTTGCCTCTGTCCACCTCCCATTCTCCTTCCCATGGCAAAACCTTGGTCTCGTTTGGAAGCCCTTGGGCTGGGGTCATTTTCTCACATGTGTGTTGGTAAGTCCAGAAGCAAGCTGGGAGCAGGAACATGGGTGTAGGACTGCAGCCAGTCCAGCCTGGGTTAGGACAAGCAGGTAGTAAATAGAAACACGTAGTACTGACCAGCTGTAGACTAGGGGTATCTTTGGGTGTATCTGCTTGTTTAGCTATTTTTCAGAGTTTTACCATTGTAGATTCATCATCCTTTAGCAGGACAGCATGTGTGACAGTGACTGGTGCCTGTGGAAGATAATTTTTAGTACAGCATAGATGAATAAGGGATTTTCTTTTGAGAAAGGAGTTTGGAATCTCAGGAGTTTCCATGCCAAATTTTGAACTCTATTTTTTACCCTTGTATCCTATGAGACCATGAAGAGGAGGGTGAAGAAACACAATGTGGACTTAAAAAATAAAATTATTTAAATACGTTTGGATGAACCTGATTCCAAAGTGTCTTAATGATTTATAGGCATCAGTTTTCTTTGGAGATTGTTGGGGCTTGTGTGCTCAAGGCATAAGTACGTGTTTGCCAGTGTGCCCATCTGTCACCTTTTCACCTCCTGACTTATCACTGCATCAGAATTCAGCCTCTTGATTAACTTCTGCCTTGGTTCTGTTTTCTTTTTCCCTCTTCAGGCAAGTGAGAGACAGACTAAAGCAGCAAGTTGTGGAGATGAAAGAGAAATTTCCAGGCTTCAGACCAGGACTGGCAATTTTGCAGGTATTGTTTTCCTTTAATGACAGCTACAGAAAACCTGTGTTGCTTGCAATGCTAAGTGCACAGCTGATGAGTTCTTCATAGCTGCCCTGCAGTGGTGCCATTTTATGAGGAACAGAGGAGCAGAGTTCCCTGTGGGGTGGTAACACAGTTCTGTGGTGCCTTTTCCCCAGTACTGGGGCCCAGAAACATTTTGGGGTGTTTCAGTTGTTTTTTTTCTTTAATCAGGCCCTTGCAGTGCGGAGTGTTGTGTTTGCGAAGTGGTGAAATCAAACTTCTTGCCTATTCAGGGGGAGCAGCACAGAGTCTGTTCCAAGTCTCTGCACTTGAGTGAGCCCCAAAGTCTGTCGGCTTTCAGAGATGTGTTTGTACCAGAAATTTTCCAGATGGGGTGTTCATTAAGGGATTTGGTCTGCTGTTACAGCAGAACATGGAGAGGTAAGAAGGGCAGAGGAGGGGAGAGAACCCAACCAAAACTACCTTTGGCCAAGAATACTTGGAGTGCAGGGGATGGAACAAAATGCCATTGTTGAACTGGATGTCTGTCAGAAGTGAGTGTTGGAGTATACACAGTGACTTGTGGAGATAAAAAGCACTCCTCAGCACAGGGGTTTGCCCTGTGTTTGGCAGAATTTTTCTTCCCTTGCAGCTATAAAAAATGGAACTCTGTGCTTACATCAGAAGGTGAGTAGAAGTAGCAAGTGTCATGTAACAGGAAGGAACTGTGTCCACAGAGGATTGATGGACTGTAAGTGTCTGCTTAGAGAAGTGACTTTTGTCCTTATTCAGTGTTTTGGGCTCCTGCAGGGCTTTTGGTGCCTGTCTGTGCATTCCAGTGCTAATACCAATACAGCACACAAAGGCCATGCTCCCCCTCAATGCCAGGAACACGTTTGTGTTTGTGTTTTGGGGTGTTTTTTTTGGTTTTCTTTTCCATTAGCTTTAAGGTCATCATCTCTACAGAAGATTTGCCTTTAGAAGAAAGGGGCTTAAAATTTAGTAAGGGGCACTTTGATGAAAGTTGCTGAACTGCTGACCTTGTAAACTCTTCAAAAATTCTTCTAGCATTGTTGGACTTTTTTCCATGGTTGGCCTGTGTTCTCTTCAGTCCTGGGTTCTCTCAAAATCCTTTACAACTTGTTTGCTTTTGACTGTCTGACACTTTTGTAAGCTGCCAAATAGTCTGGGCTTGGAGTTCATCTAATACTGATATTTGCAGCTGTCTATTTTCCAGTGAAGTCAGGACAATGAGCTGTTGCTGATACATGCACCCCACACAATATGTGCTCTTTTCTTGGGAGGCATGTGGTGTCCTCTGAACTCAGAGAATAAGTCAGTTAATCTTGATTTTATTTTTTTTTATTTTTATTTTTGTTCTGTAGTTAGGAATGCCCTTCTTTGCCCAGTACATATGTTCTGGTTGCTGACATCTCCTGATGCTCACACTCTTCCTTCTTTTCTGCCCTGTGTGAGGCTTACCTTTTCTTAAGCCCAGCAGATTTTACAGGGAGACAGCCCCTTTGCCTATACCTGGGGAGGAAGAGCCAGTGTGAGCTGGGTGACCAGGCAGTGCAGTCACCCCTGCAGCTTGTAATCCGTGTGAGAACTAGGGGTGGCTCCTAAGTCCCAGGGAGCAGGGTTTCAGGAATTTACTTGACAGCTTTTCCTGATTTGCCCTTTATTTTGTAAAAGTCAGAAGGAGTATCATCTGTCTGGTGCACGCAGTCTCCGCACGCAGTTGTCAGGACCCAAGCTTGCTGCTGTCTCCTTGTGCATCGCTTTGTTCTTGTGGTGGTGTTTTTCTTTGGCAGGAAAGTTCTCCAGGTTCCAAATAGCAGTGGAGGAAATCTCTCCATCAAAGCATGCACACGTGCATAAAATTAAGATTCTTGGTTATCAGAGAGGCCCAACTTTTCTGACAGCCTTAATCAGATAATTAAATGTTATCAGCACCTGCTGATCATGTTAATTAGCTAAGGATTTCACTTTCTCAGATTGGATGTCAGGCAGTATTTTCTGCTTTGAAGACCACCATGTTTCTAAGGGTTTTTTTCAACAGGTGCAAATGGTGTTTATGTAGGAGGTCAGACAATTCGTCGTTAGCTGCCTCTTGCTTGAAAGAGCACTTTACTGTTACTTTCAGCTGCTTATAGCCTCTGTCAGTGTGTTTTACAGTTTCAGTAATACTTCTCCTTGATGCATTTCAAGGAAGCCAAGGAAGCTGGGGGTTAAGACCGTCTCAGCCTGTGACTGGGTCTCTGTTCTGTGATTCAGCTGTCTTTCCATCCCTAGGTTGGAAATCGGGATGATTCGAACCTCTACATTAACATGAAGCTGAAGGCTGCTGCTGAGGTAATGCCCAGAGACTTAGTACTACTTTTTACCCTCCTAGTCAGTCAAATCTGACTATGAAAAACCAGCTGCAGATGAAATAGTTTTGTCTAAGCTTTGCCCATGTTGGGGAAACCAATGCTGGCCTTGGCTTTCTGTTACAAGGACATGGGGTAGGTAGCTGAGAGCCAAGTCGTGTACTCTGGTCACAACAGCATGGGTTGGTGCACTGTTTGTGTGATCATCTCCTAGATGTGTCTGAAGTGCTGATGCTCTGTGTTTCCTGGGCTGTGGCCTTGTCTTCCCAGAGTGTCTTGTACCTGCAGTTGCCTGGTGTCTGTCAGGGTGGTACCCTGTGTGCTGCAGCAGGGCAGGAACACAGATCCCTGTTTCCCTGGGTGATGCCTGGAGTCTTCTCTGCTGGCATTCTGAGGCAGTATGCTGTTAAGCAAAGATGATGTTGTTCATGTCAAAAGGTGAACAGGACAGTTGAAAATGGACCAACCTAAGCAGGCAAAGCACTAATCTTCCCTTGATGGTGTTTCTAACTAATAGCAGCCACAGGAGCAGGAGATAGACCTGGGAAATGTGGCAGAATGTGGCAGCTGCTGCTGGGCTGCACGGAGAGATTAACTAGATCATTCAGATGTCAATTCAGAAATCAGATCATTTGTTGATCTTCTCATTTGCAGATTGGGATCAGTGCCAATCACATAAAGCTGCCAAACACAGCAACAGAAGCTGATGTAAGTAGCATAGCCAGTCATGAAAAAATGCATAACTTTGGTTCAAGATATGAACTTATATTTGCCCTGTCATTGAGTAAAAAAGACTACTTGCCCATAGATATTAACTCATGAAAAAAAGAGCTGGAACCTGCTGAGCTGGGTTTTTTGGTTGTTTTGTTGTTTTATTATTTTTTAAAGAAAACTAAAACACTACAATGTAAAATTTAGAGGCTTCAACATCTATTTTATTAAAAATCAAAGTGTGAGTGATTTATACTCTTGGGTGGAATAACTAAGCATAAAGTGTGTATCTTTTAATCCAGATAGCACTGTGGTTTTGCCTTACATCAGTCGTGTTTCAGGTCATTAGATTCTGGTCTTGGCTTGCTGTAGGTGCTGAAGTGCATTGCCTCTCTGAACGGAGACCCAGCGGTTCATGGCTTTATCGTGCAGCTGCCCCTTGACTCTGACAAGCCCATCAACACTGAAAGGATCACCAATGCTGTGGCACCCGAGAAGGATGTGGATGGGTAAACTGACTTCCCCCTAGAGAGCATGACAGCTGCTCCAGAAAGAAGCTTCTTCTGGTTTTCCTTTTGAACAGTGAGCATGAAGCTGGGAGTCTTACTTGGTCTTTATTCTTTCAAAATGCAGCTTAAGTAGCATCAATGCTGGGAAACTCTCTAGAGGAGACCTTGGGGACTGCTTTATTCCCTGCACGCCAAAGGGATGCATGGAACTTATCAGGCAGACAGGTAAGGAGGCTCCATCCATTATTCATGAGCGCAGTAATCTGCAGTAAGGGGAGATATTACATGTCACAAGGCTGTGTTTCACATTCCAACTTCTGTGCAGATGCCACGTTTCACCTCTGCCTTCTTAGATAGTAAAAGAACTAGTTTTACGACAGTCTTTGCTCCCTCCCTCCCCATTCCAATTCCGTATCTCACACAGCAAAGAACAATAGTATTCTGAAGTACCAGAGCCAGACTTAAACTGACCCAAAGGCTCCAGAGCCGTTGGAGGTGGTTTGTGCTGGGATGCACAAGGAGCTGATCTAACCCTCTCCTACCTTGTCCTGGTGCAGGTGTGCAGGTGGCAGGGAAGAGAGCCGTGGTGGTTGGCCGCAGTAAGATCGTGGGTGCTCCCATGCATGACCTGCTGCTCTGGAACAATGCCACGGTGACCACGTGCCATTCGAAGACCTCCACCTTGGCTGAGGAGGTGAGGGCAGGCTGGGTGCAGGAGGCTGGTGCTACTTGCTGCACATTGCCACTCGGTGTGTCACTGCTCCAAGTCATCAGATCTGAGTGGTCTTGCATCTCAAACGGTTTCCCAGTCCTGCTCACTGCATGGTTGTGTAAATACTTCCACTGGAGTAGCATCTTAGTTATTTTTGGCATTTCAGGGGTTTATATTGTAAGAATAAAATTATTATTTTTGTTTTCTTTGAGCAAATGCTGAGAAATTCATCATCCCTTCCTGATCCCCGTGTAGGGGCTGGCAAGACAGCATGAGTTTCTGTTTGTGTTGTTTTTCACCAAATAGATCAGGTGGTCTTTGTTCTAATGGCTGAGAAATGCTAGGCCAAGTGATTTCTCAGTTGGTTTGGTTTTTTCAGTCTATTTTCTGTGACTGGGACTTGGTACCATTTTTCCTCTTTGGCAGTGAGAGTGACAGAAATAGTGTGTTGCTGTGCTGCCACCTACTTGGATTTCGTAGAGCCATCAACACTGCCAGGCTCTGTAGGCAAGTATTAAAGCTGGAGAGGGAGTAGGTGTATGTGAATATAACTCTCAAAGATCAGGAACGCTGCAATGCTTCATGCCGTGAAGTTGGTGTTCAATAAGACCATCATTAGGCTGATTAAAAATGGAAGTGCTAATTCTTAATGAAATCTTAAGGAGAAGATTAAAAGAAAAAAATCCCATGGGATAGCAGCTTCCTAAGCAAACATGAATGAAGTGATGCAAGAACTGACAAGGAGCTTTAGTCAGTTTCCAGCACCAGCTTCGTGACCAGACCTGTCAGATTCATTGAGTACTCTCTGAGTGAGCATTAGTGCTGAAATGCAATCAGCTTCCCCTGGAGTTGTGTAGTACACAGTCCTGAACACAAAAAACAGAAGATGGCACTGCCACAAGTCAAGTGCTGCTTGGTTCCGTGCAGGGGTTGTTCTTCTCTGCTGAGTGCTGGGTGTATTTCTAGCACTAAATGTGCAGGGATATTTGAAGGGAGGGAGAGAAGAATATGTAGAAGGTTTTAATTTTATCTAAATGTAGCCTGTGTGTTCCACTTGGGAATCATGGAGGAGTTCAGAGGAGGTAGTGAAGTGTTGACTAGCAATAGTTCAGGGTAGGAGTGTGAAAATAGGTGTAATTTCTGGCTGCAGGAATTTGTCCTTGCCAGGGAACTGCCAGCTATATCTAATTGCTGACAGTGCCCTTCCATCCCTCCCATGGCAGTGGGGAAGCACAGTTTCACTGCTCTTGAAGCTGATCTAAGTTGCTGCTGGAGCAGCTCTGCATTTTTCCACTGCTGGTGTGATACACAGTTGTTTCCTTGTTTTTCTTACAGGTTGGCAAAGCTGATATCCTGGTGGTTGCAGCTGGTAAAGCTGAAATGGTAAAAGGTGAATGGATCAAGCCTGGTGCAATCGTAATAGACTGTGGAATTAACCACGTGCCAGGTGCGTGGGTAATGTGTAAGGAGTGGGGATGTGTTTATTTGTATATAATGCAGTTGCTAAGTTAAGTTCATGGTTACTGTTTCCTTGGTGTTTCTCGTCCATGTGGACTTCTTGCTCTTTTCAGTCTGTTATAATTGATGATGACAACCTCTGAAGATGCCAGAGTAAAAAAAGGCTGGTCTGAAGTACTGTCCTGAAGCAGATCAGTGGCGGCTCTGGCTCTGCCTTCAATGTGGGCTGACGATTAATAGAGGCAAAAGGAGGCCTAGGAAGTGTTGGAACAGAATATTCATTTGATTGGCCCCAGCTACATCGTGAAATCTTGCTGCTGTTGTCACTTGTGAGCACAAAGCTTTGCTGTCATTACTTTGCAGTCAGATCTGATGAAGCTGTTCTGTTTGAAATGCATATGTGACAAGCAGTCGCTTAAAGGAACTGTGGATTTGTTGAATCAGAGCGTTAGCTTCTTACACTTGAATGGCTGTTGTCTAGAAACAAAGCAGACTCTGCAAGAGTATTGGTGACAGTGGCTCTGGCATAGAACAAAGTGCTTTAACATAATGGAGTTTAGGGTAGGGTTTCATTTAGCTACTCCTTTCTTATAAAGGGGGAACAGACAGTCTGGCAAATTCTGTTTTCATCTCATCTTAAATCTAAATTACAGATATTGAATGATATGGAAAATTAGTCACTATCTCTGTGCTACACCCACAAGGCTTTTAAAAGGTAGTTTTCATAATTAATCAGTCATCTAGTTGCCGTTATTTAACAGAATGTAAAGAAGTTTGTTCGGCGGTCTTGTTCCTCAAAGATGACACGGGGCTGCACTTTAAAACATTAGTCCTCTGTCTAATTAAAATTAAGAAGACATCTGCTGTTGATGTTTGCTGCTTGATGTATTTGTTCCATGCCACCCAAACTTGTGCCATTTGCCAAATCCTGCAGGGTCAGTGCAGATATGCATGAAGCAGAATGGCTTGGAGCCTCCCCAAAACTGACATGCTGCAAATAAAAAGCCCATTGTGTTTCTGACACATGATGGAATGACCTCTTTTTTTCAGGCTTGTTGTGAGCTGCATCACTGGGGACACATCCCTGTTCCTTTGCAATGAGTCTGCCTTGGGCAGTGCACTGACATCTGAGCTGCTCGTGCACCCAGACTAGTCAGTGTCACACAGAACACATGTGGTGGTGGTGTGGGACTCGGTGATCAGGGCTGGATAAAGCACCATGGAAATTGTCACACTTCAAAATGATGATGCCACAGACGCTCTTTCTTTCCTGTGGTTCTTGTATGGTCTTGTGTGCTTGCAGTCATACATCCACCAGAAACACATTGAAGTTGCATGTACATTGGCACAAGTTTGCTTGGAAGCCATGGGGATATTCTCAGCCCTTGTCTGGTGAAAGTAGGGCTGTGAATTCAGTCCAAAAGCTGCAGTAAGTTTTTTGTCATGCAGTTGTTTCTGGACATCATCATACCTGTTCATTTCTTGTGTGTAGGCATGTCCTTCACTTCTTTGATTTCAAAAAGTCCTTGGATGTTCTCTCTGTCTTCTAGCTGGTTAGAGAATCTCCTGGATCATGGATGACACAGGCACTGGGAATGGTTATGGTGTCACTGATACTCCCTGTGACTAGTTTGTGTTAAGAGCGGGATGATGAATATTGAGAAGGTGAAATTATGGGAAGAGAAGGCAAGTCTTGAATGTGAGCTTTCCTCAGTTGAATAGGTCCTAAGTTGTGCTCGTCAGTGCTTGGCGTGAGGTGCGGATGAAGACGCAGAGACTGGGGAGTTGTTTGGCTTGTGCTCAGCTCTGCTTGTGTCTAGAGTGCCTGCTTGTTTTCCTCATCCTTGGGCCTGGAGCCTCCCTGGCCAGGGTGGCTGGTTATCCTGCGTGGCATCCTTGGAAGGAAACAGAATCATGTTATTTACCTTTTGCAGCCTTAATTGAAGTGGTGTCTAGGCTGCAAAGCCAAGCTGGTCTGCAGTTCAGACAGCAAAGCTGCAGAAACCATGGTTGACAGGCTCTGAGCTGTAGGGAGAAGTGTTGCTTAAAACACAAACACAGCAAAACATCCAAGCTGCTAATTGTCAGTAACAATGCAGCTAAAACTTAGTGTTGGCAGGAGCTGGTTTTGTTCTCTCTTTTGTTTTAACATAATCAGCTGTTTAGGAGTTTGGTTTCTGTTCGACTGTTCCCCCTCACCAAATGCATGTTAATGTTACTGATTGTTCTGTTCAAACATGCAGTTATTGTATGCAATATGATACTTCAACGTAGCAACATTAAAATCTATCTGCAGATTTTTCACACTGCTTAGAGGTTCCCTAGAGTCCTTTATCAGAAATGAGAATTTGCCATTCCAGAGAAACTACAATCTCTTTTTTTATGTGCTATAATCAGTGAGTTCCTTAGATGACTGTGCTAGTTTACTAACACATTTTGTCTCTCTCTCTGAATGAGCTTAAAGGTCGCCGCTGGGAAAAATGGGCTATATCTGCTTCTGAATTGTCAGGGCATATAGTGCAACAGGATGTAGCAAACGTTTCTTTTGCCAGATTATTCTTCTGGAGCTCTCTTAAGCCACCTGTGAGGTTTGTTTTGACAAGTTATCTCTGTGAATTGCAAAATTTACCAGTCCATCACTAGAATAGCAATGGCTGATTGAAAAGCTCAGCACTTTGTCTTCAGTTTCTGTAAAGGCAGGTGATTTTATTCAATAGTAAGGCCTAGATGTCCTCCAGAATGGAGCAGAGCAAATGTAAACCTGGGTTTATGAACAAGCCAGGCATGTTTCTTCTCTCATCTCTTCTAGACTATTGGTCTGTATCTCCTACAAACTGTAAGCTGTGCTAATCCTTTGGAGCAATACAGCAGAGAGGATGATTCAGGTGGCATCTATTGCATGTCCCATTTGTGTTTTATTATTGCACAGATAGACAATTTGACCTGTGCTTTTGTCCTCGTGCATTTGTTTTGGAGTCATCTTCAGACATGCCTGGCTGAGGATAAATGGTGCTTAATGGGAGGATATGCTGCATGAGCTGTTGACACTCTCCAAGTGAAGTATGATGATAACAGCTTGATCTTGTGGTGTTGGTTTAGCTTTTCTATCTTTCCTTGCAGCTTCCTGGGTATTCAACCTCTGTTTCGTTTATTCCAACAGAAGAAAAGGCTTCAGCTTCAGTCGGTGCTGTCTCCTCTGGTTTTGAACGTGATATGTAACTTGCTTTCTCCTTAAATCCCCAGACAGCACAAAGGCCAGTGGAAAAAGAGTTGTAGGAGATGTGGCATACAGTACAGCCAAGGAAAAAGCTTCCTTCATCACGCCAGTTCCCGGTGGGGTTGGGCCGATGACTGTGGCCATGCTAATGCAGGTGGGTGGGCGGGCAGACTGAGGCCTATCACCTCCTCCGTGTTTGCCTTTGGGAGGTGTTACTGCTGACCACCAGCAGGCTGCCAGAGCAACTCGTGCTTCCTCCTTGCTCTTACAGAGATTAGTTAGGCTTTCCAACTTCTAGTCCGGACAGTCTGGATTCAGTTAACTGAGGAAGCAGATGGACTTTAGGGAACTGTTAGGACAGAGATTTTTGGTTGAGTTTTTTTAGGGGGTTTTGAGCGTGATCGCTCAAAACAGTGAGAAAGGTTTTGTCTTATAATGCTCTGGCTGTAATTCTAAAACTATCCTTAGGGTGATTGGCTGAAAGGAGAGTAACAGTATAATCTAGCTCCTCCTGGTTCCATGCTTCAAGAAATACTGCTGCAGAGAAGACCCCAAACGCTCCAGCACACTGCAAGATGAGTAGATAGATGGGTAGAGAGAGATGGTGGGGTTTTCTGAGAAAACCACAAGCAGAATCTCATTTTGGGATATGAACAAATGCTCTAATGAAAGCACTTTGTTGTAGTGCCAAAGTGAGACAGATGGGAGGGGAAGACCTTTCTAGTCTCTTTGTTAACCAGCATGGCTTGCACAGTGGTGGTTGCTATAATGCATTCTCATGCTCATTTTAGAGCACCGTGGAGAGTGCACAGCGTTTCCTGGAGAAGTTCCAGCCTGGAAAATGGACCATTCAGTATAACCAGCTTACCCTAAAGGTGCCTGTTCCAAGGTAATGCTTTCAAGTGGAGCCACTGGCAGTGTTAATGCAGTATAGTACTCCCCTCTGTTCCCAAGCTTTGTGTAATACAGGGCTTACATAATTGTGGACTGCAGCTGGGACTGAAGTCTGGAGAGAAACAGAGGAAGCACTGTGAGGCCTTCCTGAGGGAGCAGAGCTAACCTGCACTGACATATACTGAGCTGTAGGTTTGGGTCATTGTGATAATATTAAGGCATAAACGTGGACTTTCACAGACTCTTTAGGCCAACTTTAGGTCAGCTAGATTATTAGGCCAGTTAGATAACTCCTGATTCAGCAAACAGTGAAACAGAATATCCTAAGTTGGAAGGGACCTTTGACGATCATCTAGTCCAACTCCTGTCCTGCAGAGACATCCCTGAGAATCACACCCTGTGCCTGAGAGCATTGTCCAAACAATCCTTGAGCTCTGGCAGGGTTAGTGCTGTGACCACTTCCCTAGGGAGCTGTTCCAGTGCCCAAACACCTCTGGGGGAAGAACCATTTACTAATCTCCAGCCTAAACCTACAATGACACAACTTCAGGCCATTCCCTCGGGTCCTGTCTCGGGTCACCAGAGAGAGGATCAGTGCCTGCCCCTTTGCTTCCCCTTGTGAGGAAGTTGTGAGTACAAAATAAGCAGTTGTGTTTTTGAAAATTTTCAATCTGACATAGCAAAAAACCAGCATCTTGAAGTAGGAGTTGTTAGTGTCAAGTCTTCGAGGAACAGCTGAAAATATGCAAAATAACACGAGAGAGCATAACACGTCACCTACAAAAAAGTCATTCTTGGGCTTGGGAGGAGTGGGGAGAGGGTTGGGGTGTGGGGGATGTTGGGGTTTGGTTGGGGTTTTGCCTTTTTTTACTTTTAAAAAGGCAACTCCGAGGATGTGTCTGTTCTAATATAGCTGACACTGGTGGGGTTGATACTAGGAGGGGTTAGAGCTTCACTTCTCAAACACAGATTGATTGTAGTTCATGCCATCCAGAAGCAGGGAATTTGTAAGAAGCCTTTGACTCATGAATTCACTTTGCTCTTTTCCTTCAAGTGACATTGAAATCTCACAGTCTTGCATACCCAAGCCCATTGATCAAGTTGCAAGAGAAGTTGGCCTGAGCCCTGACGAGGTGGAGCTCTACGGCCAGACCAAAGCCAAGGTTCATCTGTCAGCTCTGAAGCGGCTGAAGAACCAGCCAGATGGCAAATACGTTGTGGTCACTGGGTAGGTGCTTCCTCGGCGGAGATGTCACTTACGTGGTGTCAGGGTGAGACAGGAGTTTCACTAGCATGGCTCCTTGTTGTATTGCCTTTTGGTAGGTGCTCTGGGTTTTAGTAAATCACACCGAAAATCTAGTGCTTCAGGAAGCAGATTTATCTCTTGTGGCAAACAATTCTCTCCAGGAGGTAAGTTGTTTGGGTCTGCCAGTCAGGATTATGAGGGGTGGACTGGTCCCTCGTCAGAGTTCTCCTAGGCTTGTAGTCTGAAAAAAAAGATTTGTTCCAAAGTCTTCAGCAGTTACGTGGTAATTTGCCAGTCCCATCCCAGTTTCAAACTGATGAAGATTAGCTGAAGTCTGAGCCAGTACAGAATTCAAATTTGCATTAACTGCAGTCATGGGGTGACTATTTTATCCCTGTGTTTTGAGTCTCATCTGCTGTAAGGGTTGAATCATGTCTCTCTATCTCTGCAGGATAACCCCCACTCCCCTTCAGCAGTTACGTGGTAATTTGCCAGTCCCATCCCAGTTTCAAACTGATGAAGATTAGCTGAAGTCTGAGCCAGTACAGAATTCAAATTTGCATTAACTGCAGTCATGGGGTGACTATTTTATCCCTGTGTTTTGAGTCTCATCTGCTGTAAGGGTTGAATCATGTCTCTCTATCTCTGCAGGATAACCCCCACTCCCCTGGGAGAGGGGAAGAGCACCACCACTGTGGGCCTGGTCCAAGCCTTGGGAGCACACCTGCACCAGAACGTCTTTGCCTGTGTCCGACAGCCTTCTCAGGGGCCAACTTTCGGTATAAAAGGTAGGAGCTGTTCTCTGGCTTCCAGCTGGACTAAATGGGGAAAGGTGGCATTCTGCTGCAGTGTGGTGTCACGTAATTCCCACTTACAACTGCATTTACTTTAAGAAAGAAAAGCTTTGGGTAAGTTCTTCAGTTTTGTCTTCAAGTGCTGTGCTGGGATTGAAACTAAGCTGCTCGTTGTTAGCTGCCCTCTTAGAGCCATTAAGCAAACACATGTCATGGCACTCTGGGCTGGAGACACCTGTATTTGTGTGATCTATTGTCTCTCTGCAGGTGGAGCTGCAGGTGGTGGCTATTGCCAGGTTGTCCCCATGGATGAGGTAATTCTTTACATATTGCATATATAGCTCACAGACTTCTTGGAGGAGATACTGCAGTCAGAGAACTTGGAAAGCCTCTAAGTTTATAGCCTAGTGTGGCACTCTCAGGAGGTGGAGGCTTGATTTCAGCAAAGCTTTTTTGTTTTAAAAAGCAAACCAACATCTGTGTTTTTTTCAGAAGTGTGCCTGCATGGTCAGGGAACTTCACAGAGCC